TTACTTACCACTGACCGGTCCAAACCCCCTCTCCCTCCTACCATAACAGAACTTCCTCTTGTAACAAATAGGTATGGTCAAGATGAATTAATCAGCACATTGGCCATGTCTGGAAATATATTCCTCAACTTTAGTTCACTACCTTTCTGCCAGTAATGTGGAAGACAGGCTTCTGAAATCAGATTGGTCAGTACATTGTTCAGAATTCTGAAATTTTTCAATGTTGTTTTCTCTTTCTGGTCATCACGTAAATTGTCCTCCTGCTTCTGTTTACTTCATTCTGCATCAGTTCATATGAGTCTTCCAAAGTTTCTCTGTTTTCTTTATATTTGTCTTTATATTTGCCATAATATTCCTTTGTGTTCATATTGCATTGTTTGTTTCGCCATTCTCCAACTTATGGTTCCCCTCTTTGTTTCCAGTTTTTTCCTTGTACAAAACTATAACTATAATTTTTTTTTGCGTAGACAAGCCTTTTCCTTTGTCTTTGGACTCCTAGTAATAGTATCTCTGAGTTAAAAGGTAATTTTATATCTTTTGGGGTATAATTCTAAATTATTTTTCCTGGATTATCAGAACAATTCATAGTTCCACAAAGAGTGTATTTATTGTGCTTGTTTTCCCAATCCCTTCAAAATATTCTATTTTCTTCTTTTTGTCATCTTTGCCAATATGATGCAACCCTATGTTTCCAGCTTTATTTCATATCACTCACCCATATACATTTTATTTTCTTACAAATGGCCTATCCTCCAGCCAAATTGAACCATCCTCCCTCCCCCCCAAATGCCCTGTGATTTCCTGCATCCAGATCTTTGCTCATGATTTTCCCTCTGTGTTTCTTTCTAGTCTTCGTCTGTTGAGTTAAATACCGTCCCCTCCATGAAGCTTTCCCTAATCCTCCCTGTCAATAACAATCATTTCTTTAGGACTTGGCATAGTATTTCTTTTTTAGCATTTCATGTATTTGTAATGTGGGCTGTGGTTGCCTCTGCCCTTATTGGAACCTCTCCAATGCAGCTTAAAATGACCTAGCTTGTGACAGTAGGCAATTGAGACCTCACTGGAAATGTTCCACTAAGGGTAAATAATCCCTGCCTATATTCTAATTCATCCTCTCCCTCTCCCTCTCCCTCTCCCTCTCCCTCTCCCTCTCCCTCTCCCTCTCCTTTCTCTCTCTCTCTCTCTCTCTCTCTCTCTCTCTCTCTCTCTCTCTCTCTCTCTCTCTCTCTCTCTCCCTTCCCCCCCCCATCTTCCTACAGGACTGTTAGTTGCATTAAGCAATGATCTTATCTCGATTTGTATTTTCTCCACTTCCTTGCCCACTGCTCTGCACAAAGTAGTTTGAAATGTTTGGATGGCATCTATAATTTTAGTAAGGAACTCCCAGTAGGGAAACTCCCTCTACCAATGCAGATCAGCAACTGCTCTGCAGCTCATAGTCTTAGAGTATTGCTTATGGGATTGAGAGTTTAAGTGTCTTGCCCAGGGTCACTGAGCTGGTATTTGTTAGAGACAGAATTTGAACCCAGGTTTTCCTGAATTTGAGGTTGGTCCTTCAGGTTTTCTATTTAGTATTCCAGACTGCTTCTCTAGCACAGAGTAGTCAATCAATAGATGTTTATTAAGTGCCTCCTTTGTGCCAGGCACTGTAGTATGTAGTAGGTAGGCATTTAATAATGTTTACTATTGTTTTTGTGACTTACCTCAATCATATACATTAGATCAAGCATAACAGGGCTTTAAGGAGATTAGGCTGTTGTATAAGAATTTAAATAAAAGTGGAAAAAATGACTCTGAGTCTTGGTATTAGACGTGGCATGGACTTGGAATTGATACTATTTGCCATAGTTATAATGATAGCAGTATGTGTGATGACATCAATGTGAGTAATATTGGTAAGCATCAAAGAGCTAGTATTGTCAAGTAGTTAAAGAAGCCCAAGAAGAAAAATATAGGAGTCCAAGCATGATACCCCCTATTCCAGGTAAACCATCTGCTAATTCAACAAATTACATTTGAAATATTATCAGAGCCCTGGAAGGTTCCTGAATTTCTACATAACACTCAATTCTACTATTTTCTCTAAGTTTGTAAGTCATCCATTACTTTCAAGTTCTTAACTTCATGAGAGAAAATTTGTATGTGGCTCAGGTCTGAATGGGAAAAGTAGAAGAAGGCAATGGGGATCCAGTGAGAGTTAGAATAAGGAAGCTAAATCTGGAGAAAGAAGATCCTTTCCCTAGCTGCCTCATTTCTCCCTCTTCTCAGGTTTCAATATTGTCCAAATAATCTGTCTAGAGGACCCATAAGTAGAAGGGCTTCTCCATTGAACTTCTGTGTATTTTTTTCTAGGAAAAGACCTTTTCAAAATGTTTGCTTGGACCCAGAATTTAAACTTAGGATATAGAGGAGCTGTGCTAATAAAGTTGTTGCGGTCTGTTTCTGATGGTGTTTATAATATTCCACATCCACTGTCCCCCACCTCTGTGATAACGGAGGAGAGGTACATTTTCTCAGTTCTTCTTCAGGTCTAATAATTGTGTAGGCTTAGGTTCTCCCTTCCTCCCTTCTTTCCTTCCTTCCTTTTCCCCTTCTTTCTTTTTTTCATCCTTCTTTATCCATGATATTTTTTCAAAGTGGATTCTTTCCAAAATGTTTGCTTAGGTTCAGAATTGAAATAAGATGCAGATGAGTAGGTCTAGTACAGTTTTTGCAGGCTAGTAGGTATTATATATATATATATATATATACATATATATATACATATATATGTATATACATATGTATATATATGTATTATAATAGTATATATAGTAGATATAGTAGGAATATATTACTCCTAGAGTAATTGGCTTATAGAATCACTGACTAACAGAGCTGGAAGAAGGTACCTGGAGATGTCATACAGTTAATAGAGATGGTTCTAATCAGTCCTATGCCTAATCCATCTTTGACAAGATAAGACTGTATAGTTTTTGAAAGGCTGCCCAATGAAGGGTTGTCCACAATTTCCCTTCATAGTCTATTCAAAGATCTAACAGCCATGACTATTATGTTTTTCTTATACCTAACCTATATCAATCAAAATATTTATTAAATACCAACTATGTGCCAGGAATTGTGTTAGATACTAGGGATATTAAGAAAAAAAAGGACCCAAAGAGATCAAACAAATGGGAAAAGGACCCACATGTACAAAAATATTCATAGCAGCTCTTTTTGTGGTGGCAAAGAATTGGAAATTGAGAGGATGCCCATCAATTGGGGAATGGCTGAGCAAGTTGTGGTATATGAATGTAATGGAATACTATTGTGCTATAAGAAATGATGAACAGGCTGACTTCAGAAAAACCTGGGAAGACTTATATGGTCTGATGCTGAGTGAAGTGAGCAGAAGCAAGAAGACTTTGTACACAATAACAGCCACATTATGCAATGACTAAGATTGTTAAACTGAACCCTTCTCAACATTATGAGCATCTAAGACATCTCCAGAGGCCTCGGGAAGGAAAATGCTGTCCACATCCAAAGAAAGAACTATGGAAGTCAAATTGCTATCACTTATTTTTACCTTCTGTTGAGTTTTGTTTCATCTTTCTGATGGTTCCTCCTATTGGTTTTAATTTTTACTTACAACTTCACTAATGTGAAAATATGTTTAATGGGTATGTAAATGTAAAGCCTATATCAGATTGTGCGCTGTCTTAGAGAGGGTGGTGGAGAGGAAGGGGGAGAAAAATTTTCAACTCAAAAGCATATGGAAGTGATTGTTGATAAATCAAAATAAATTAATAAAATAAAAAAAGGAAATAATTCATGCCTTCAAGGAGATTACATTCTATCAGGGAAGACAACATACACATAAAAAAGTGTATAAAAAATAAATACAATGTAAATTTTTGAGGCACTATCTACTGGGGTTGTCCTGGGGATCAGTACAGGCTTCATGCCGAGGTGTTGCTTAAGGAAACAAGAGATTCTAAGAGGCAAAATGGAAAACTTTCCACTCATGGGGGACTTGTCAGTGAAAGGGTACAAGGCAAGATGGAGTGTCATAAGTAAGAAACAGTAAGCTGGCTAGGGCCAAGTTATGAAGGACTCCAAAAGCTAAAAAGGAGTTTATATTTGAGCCCTGGGGCATGGATCCTTCATATTGAAGCTGAAATGTGATTCTTCTCTGAGCTTATCCCTGTCCTCTGTATATCTGTTTACAAAAACCAAAAAAACTGTAGTACTCAACGCCTTGGACCTTAGGAATTTGTTCTTCATTTGCAACAGTCAGCCTTTTCAAAGGTTCTTGCCTCTGAGATCCATCTTCCTTTCACTTCATATTTTTGAAGATTGTGGGTGCAAGGAACAGGGAGACTGGGAAGAAGGGATATAAGAGTCTAATTTTTTACAACTATGCCACAGATCAAATTCTCTTCATGGAACACATTTCTTCCACTTTATCTTGAGAAAACAAACATAGAACCCTTTCCCAGAAGACCTTGATATTATCTCATAGAGTTGTAGTGAGGAAAGCACTTTACACAGTGCTTTTATGTGAATAATTGTAATTATTCGCATTAGCCAGAATCTCTTTTAATTTTTTCATCAACAGTGGGCAATAGGAAATGAATGATTTCCTGGTACATGATTGCCCATAGCTGTTCATCTTTCAGGTTTGGGTCAATACATCCGTTCCCATACTTTCCAACTATGGCCCCATTTCCAAGCCAGGCTACACCTTCCAGGCATGTTTTAGCTGGTAGCACTCCAATGATATTGACAGCTGGAGATGCATTAAATAACTGAGTGCATAGGAAAATAAGCAGTGAACTGGGCTTCCCACCCTTAAGGCTATGTAGCGTAAGCATCCCCGTAATGAAAAGATTAAAAGGCCTCTTGTTTTGAAAAGGGGGGAAGAGGGGGAGCAGGTTAACTTATAAATAGAAGCTGCCTGAAGCTCCCCTTGGTGCATGTCATTATTTTATAAATCTTTTTTTTTTTTTAAGGATCTCATTAATAGAGACCAATTGGAAACTCCATTCTCTTTTCATGTTTTGGAGAGATCTTGTTGGAGGTCTGTTTTATAATATTTGCTTCTATCACATTGGGTGACAAAGTCTGCTGTTTTGAACCGTCTGTGCATGGAAAATGAAGATGATGATGATGTTTCTTTTGCCAAATGGATGAGCAGCTTCTGGGGCCACAGCTGGATTGATGAAAATGAGAGAGAATTAAGAAACCACAGGGAACGCCGAGCCCAGGATATCAGAAAAGAACCTCCCTGCCTTGTCCAGTAAGTTATTGCTGCAGAACATATATGAGGGAATAAAGGAAGGGGGTTGATCCAAAGTAATTTTTAAAGACTTCTTTGGCATGGCCAAGTTTTCACGGCCTTAAATGTATTTCGTTTAATCTTTTTTTTTTCCCTTCCCTGAACTCATCAGAGCTTTTACTGAGAGAGACAGCCCAAATCTCTCCACTCTGAAATGGAAATCCAGCAATGTTTTCTGCATGGACACAGTGTCCTAGGAACAAAGCCCTGATTATGGAGCTAATAAAAGGAAAATGATTGAGTGTAATCACCTTGAAGCTCAGAGATAAATAGAAGCAACAGTTCTCATCTTCACAGTGATGGTACTCTCCGGTTTTTTCTGAGAGCTTCACTGTTTGTTATATGGTGGTATAGTTATCCAGTTCTTTATGTAACCTCTTATGCCACCAATAACCAGGAAGTAGCCTTCCATTATAAGTTTCTTCAAGGCCAAAAGATGTTGGAGATATATTGGGGGGAAGGGCAGAAGAGGAGGAGTTTTTTATTTTTAGCACTGGGTTCCCCTGAATATGTTTTAGGAAATTCAAGCTTATTTTCTTCTTTTCTCAGGAAATGTGAAGAATCCTAACCAGTTCAAGTAATAAGTTATGTTTCAGATCTGTATCACTTATCAGATAGTAACCTTGACAAATTCACTTAATTTTTTTAGATCTCAGTTTTCTTATCTGTAAAAAATGAGAGGGTCAATCTGGATGATTTCCAAGTTCCTTTACAACTCTGTTATTCTTTGATTCTGTGAGTCTAGGCTGAAAAAGTACTTTACTCTTGCAGATTAACATCATCAAACTTTGCTTACAATGGAGGCAGTTATCAGAATTTGCATTTTAAAAAAATTCCTTTTTATTTTTGTGAACTTGACAACATTTAACAAATATGAACAACTCTTTACACAAAGAAGAGTATTGCATAAGAAGGCATGACTATGTGGATGTTGGTATATACACCTTCAGTTGCAGTAGTCAACTTTTTCAAAGATTCTTGCCTTTAAGAATCCATTTTCCTTTCCCTTTATGTTTTTAAAGATTGTGGGTGCAGGGAGTGGGGAGGCTAGGAAGGAGGGAAGGAGATAAGGTGCTATTTTTTTGTATTTTATTTCATATACTTCAAATTTAGCATGCTAGTTACAACACTGGCCTGCATATTTGTGTCCCCTTTTGAACTTCCTTCTATTCTCTCCCTTTTTAAGGATGCATCAGCTTGGTTGTAGTGTAAAATATTTTTAATGTGTTTAGCCTTTTTGCTAATACATTACCAATATTTTATTTGTTGCTGTCTATAGGTTCCTTTCTTTGTCTCTCTCTGGTTTAGGGAACAGGGCCATCTTAGATTCAAAACAGAAAGCTGATAGGATTCTTTCTTTCCCTATTTTTGCAAATAATTTATGTAATATTGGAAATAATTATTCTTTTAAAGTTTGATAGAATTTACTTGTGAATGCATGTGGTCCAGACATTTTTCTTTTCTCATTCTTTTGTAGTTTGTTCAATTTCTTTTTCTGAGATTGGGATATTTAAATTCTCTGTTTATAGTTCTGTGAATTTTGTTAATTTAAATATTCTTCCACTTCATTTAAGCAGTCAATTTGTTGGCATGTGATTGGGAAAAAAATAGTTTAATGATTTCCTTTATTTTCTCTTCATTTATTGTAAATTGTTTTTCATTTTTTATACTAACATACTAGATTTTTTTTAATCAAATAAGTTAATGGTTTACCTATTTTGTGATTTTTCAAAAAAATGAATCCCTACCCTTATTAATAATTTTTTGTTTTCAATTTTGCTGATCTCTTATTTGGTTTTAAGAAATTTTATTTTTGTATTTGTCTTGGGGTTCTATTTTATTGCTTTTATAATTACTTTAGTTGCATGCCCAATTCATTGATTTTTTTCCTGTTATGTGTTTTTTTTTTAATGGAAATGTTAAGAGATGTAAATTTTCACATCAAGACTATGTGGGATATATCCCAAAAGCTTTAGTATAATTGCCCATTATTTCATTTTATTTAAAGAAATTACATATTGCTTCTATGATTTGTTCTTTGATCCACCAATTCTTTAGGATCAGATTACTCAGTGTCTATTTAAACTTGAATCCTTTCTTCAAAGGCCTTTTAAAATTTATTATAATGTTTGTTGTATTGTTATCAATAAAGGATATGTTTAATATTTCTGCTTTTCTGTATTTGTTTATGAGGTATTTATATCCTAGAATATAGTCAATTTTTATAGGGGAAAAATATGTATGCTCCTTTCTATTCTCATTCAATAATCACCAGAGATCTATCATATCTAACTTTTCTAAGATTCTATTCAGATTTTTAATTTCTTTATTGTTTATTTTTGTTAGATTTATCTAGGTCTAAAGAAGGCACATTGAGGTACCATCTATTATTCTTTTCCTCTCTGTTTCTCCTTATGATTCAATTAACTTTTAAGTACATAGATTGCTATACTATTTGTTTCGTATATGTTAAATATTGATTTTGTTTTGTTATCCATGGGATCTTTAACTATAATATGGTTTCCCTGCTTATCTCTTGTAACCAAGTCTATTTTACTATTTCTTTGCCAGAGAGAATGATTATCATGTCTACTATTTTTAATTCAGCTGAAGCATAAAAAATCTTGCTCCAGCTCTTCCTTATAGCCCTTGTGAATCTTTGTCTGAAGTTTGTTTCTTGTAAATAGCATATTGTTGGATTCTGATTTTTAAAAATTTTTTATTAATTTATTTTGATTTATCAACAATCACTTCCATAAGCTTTTGAGTTTTAAATTTTTCTCCCCCTCCCTCCCCAAGATGGCATGCAATCTGATATAGCCTATACATATACATTCCTATTAAACATATTTTCCCATTAGTGATATTGTAAGTAAGAATTAGAATCAACAGGAAGAACCACAAGAAAGACGAAACAAAACAAAACAGAAGGAAAAAAAATAGAAAATAGTATATGCTTCAATCTGCATTCAAACTCCACAATTCTTTCTTTGGATGTGGATAGCATTTTCCATCATGAGACCTTTAGAGGTGTCTTAAAGGATCCTTGCATTGCTGAGAAGGGTTAAGTCTATCAAAGTTAATCATTTCACAACATGGCTGTTACTGTGTACAACTTTCTTCTGGTTCTGCTCACTTCACTTAGCATCAGTCCATACAAGTCTTTCCAGGTTTTTCTGAAGTCTGCCTGCTCATCATTGCTTATAGCACAATAGTATTCCATTACATTCATATACCACAACCTGTTCAGCCTTTCCCAAATTGATGGGCATCCCCTCAATTTCCAATTCTTTGCCACCACAAAAAGAGCTGCTATAAATATTTTTGTACATATGGGTCCTTTTTCCATTTGCATGATCTCTTTGGGTTATAGCCCTAGAAGTGCTATTCCTGGGTCAAAGGGTATGCACATTTTTGTAGCCCTTTGGGCATAGTTCCAAATTGCTCTCCAGAATGATTGGATCATTTCACAACTCCACCAACAATGCATTAGTGTTCCAATTTTCCCACATCTTCTCCAACATTTATCATTTTCCTGTTTTATCATGTTGGCCAATCTGATAGGTGTGATGTGGTACCTCAGAGTTGTTTTGATGACTTGTTTTTCATGATTTTCTTGCGTCACTCTCATTTCTCTTCCCAGTTTTTCCTCTACTTCTCTTACTTGCTTCTCAAAATCCTTTTTGAGCTCTTCCAAGGCCTGGGACTGATTCATATTTTTCTTGGAGGCTTTGGATGTAGGAGCTTTGACTTGGTTATCTTCTTCTGGTTAATCTTCTTTGTTACCAAAAAAGATGCTGTGGTCTGACACTTCTTGCAAGGTTTGCCCATGATCCCAGCCAATTACTTGAGTTATAAACTCTTTATTACAGTAGAAGTCTGCTTCCAATTTGGAGGATGTACTGTCCCCAGCTTCAGGAATTTATACAGCTGTTTTCAGAGCTACTTCTAGGGACCTGTAAATTTTCAGTTCTTCCAAGGTGGTATGATAAAGGGCAAGGTGTTTCCTCTCCACTGCCACTGTAAGCTCCACCACACCAGAGCTCCTCCTCACTCTAGGACTGCCCCTCAGAACTGTGACCCAGATCCAAGCAAGGGCAAAGCAAGAGATTCCTGCCTCAGCACTGGCAAAGAGATCCCTGCAATCCCCCTCTGATCAGCCACCCGATTGCCCCTCAGTCAATGGGCTGGAAGCTCAGGAGGCAGCCGCCACCCCGGGCTATGCTCTGGAACTGGGGCTGAGACCTAGCTTCTCTCTCACTGCAGAAACAGACTTTTCCTACTGACCTTCTAAGTTGTCTTTGGCCTTTGTGGGTTGAGAAGTCTGGAAACCACCACAGCTGTCTCTGATTCAGTCTGAGGCCTGCTCCAGGTTTGCTGTGGCCTGTGTGCCCATGCCAAACTGTGCTACTCTACCAGCTGGGCACGATATACCTTTCTGATCAACTATCCAGGTTGTCTTGGGCTGGAAATTTGTTTCACTCTGTCTTTTTGTGGGTTCTGCTGCTTTAGAATTTGTTTAGAGCCATTTTTTATAGGTATTTGGAGGGGTTTGGGGCAAAGCTCAAGCAAGTCACTGCTTTCACACAGAGTTGTTTTGATTTGCATTTCTCTAATAATAGTGATTTGGAGCATTTTTTCATATGACTATAGATGGCTTTAATTTCTTCATCTGAGGACTGCCTTTTCATATCCTTTGACCGTTAGCAATTGGGGAATGACTTGTATTCTTATAAGTTTGACTTAATTCTCTATATATTTTAGAAATGAGGCCTTTATCAGAGATACTGGTTGTAAAAATTTTTTCCCCAGTTTTCTGTTTCCCTCCTAATCCTGGTTGCACTGGCTTTGTTTGTGCAAAAACTTTTCAATTTAATGTAATCAAAATTACCTGTTTTGCATTTCATAATGTTCTCTATATCCTGTTTGGTCATAAATTTGTCTGTTCTCTGTAAATCTGA